TTTATGTGATAACAAAACAATTAATAATGATATTACATTAAAGGGACTGATGGATAAAAAGGAAAAACCTGAAAAACAAAATTTAAAGGAAAAGTTGTTAAGGAATTTTTAAGAAAGTAGTTCCTATTATTTATTATCTCAATAACAACTATTATTATTCGTTTTTTAATCTAAAACATGATATTGTACAATTTATATAATAAAAAAATATTCTTGATACCATTATAATTACCAGTATAATTAGAAAATCAATTTTAGATAAAAAAAAATTAATTAAAGTTAAAAGTTATAAATTTAATTTTATTATTAGTCGTAGATATTATTTATCTCTTAGAATAAATAAAAAAAACATAATATGTATATTTCGATTCAAACAGCAACAAATTATACTAGTAAATAAAAAATTGTATTAGTAAAAAAATATATATATAATATTCGTTTTTTACTTCCAACAAAATAAGAACTGCAGATGCGAGTATTTTTATTAGGCTGCCATCTAAAATACTATGTGAATAAAATAATAACAATTTTATGTACAAAATTATAATTTATTTTATTTTTTCAGTATTATATGTTATTTTTACTGAAAAATACATATCAATAATTAATTTTATAAATTAAATATGATTCACTCACATTCGATTGACAGCTTGTATCCATTTATATTTTTGGTCCAAATGATAATTTCATGTCGGGAAACTGTAAAATTTTAGATCGGGATTGTTTTTCTCCTCAGAATTATTGCACCTAATTACACAACAGAATCTTTTTGCACGTATTTTAAAATAAAGTCGTTTTTAATAAACAGCGATTTCGTTTAGGCATGTTACGACTGATTTAGTCGATTAATAACATCACTTGAGCTACGCAACTGGCGTATAGATCGTGACAAGCGAACGTGCGTGCGAATGCACGTGCGCTTATTATTCGGTTGTTCGGTTTCTTTCCTTTTATTGCTAATTTAATTTTTCTGTTAGTCGCCTCGCATTTAGATTTGTTGTCATTGATCGGATCATGCTCGGTGGCTAAAATATTATAATATATTTTGTAAAATTTGTCGTCTTATCCATCAACAGACGAAGATAAGGACCCCTGTTAAGCTCCTCCCCTTCTCTCCACTAGCGATAAATGAATTTTAATTTTACATATCAAAATTAGGTGCTGAAATGCGAAATTAAGTGCTCGAACCGTTTACAAAAAAAAAAGTTATTGGAGGAACGGGGCTAGCTTAATATTGAGTTAACTCCTCTCAATAAAAAAGAAATATTTATTGCATAAGTAAACAAATACACTGGAATTAAGTGCTAATTACGTACTCCAACAAATGATTAAAATATTCCGAAAATATATATTATATATAGAATTATATACAGAACTTAGGCGTTAGTCAAACAGACGGTTCACAAAAGAGAAGTTGCTTTAAAAAATTAAGTGCTCAGATAAATTTGGTATTAGAATATTTTTTTTAATAGTTTTTTCCAATCAAGTGGACCCAGCGAAGCTTCGCTGCATGAAATCATATCTTAATAAGAGTGAAAGACGTGATTCGCGGCGCTGCATTATTGTAATTGACTCATGACAAGGTCTCGATTAGATAATCTTGATAGAGGACGGGAGGGGGGGAGGATGAGCTGCATAGAACCATCCAGAAAAATCTCAACCGGCACTCGTCGTAACTAGAGACAAGAGCCATCCAAGTGAAGTAGTCATACTGCAGCTGATTGTGACCGAGCCAAATAGAGCCAAAAGACAATTATCAGAAAACGCACGAATCATCAGCGGACGAAAGGACGAACGGAAGGAAATCGCATAAGGATACCGGAGGACTCGAGGAGGAGTATAGTGAGACAAACGTTTGTTAATGTTTTTTCGTATACTATGCGAAAATAAATGACATACATACGCTTATATCTATATAAAATTTGATATGTTTGTGACGGTCGGTCTATAGTGCGCGTACTTAAAATTCTTTTGCTTCTTTTATTGGCTGTTGTAATTAACCCGGCCACGATCTGGCAATAAATTAGTTCGAAAATACAAGTAACAAATAAAAAAAAAGAAATAAAAACTCTCACGAAAAAGCTCGGTAGCTTGACAAAAATTAGGAATGATGCAACACCCAAGCCGAACGGAACATGTCCGTCCCGGTACGCAATAGTGTAACTGTCTATTAATATGCCTTTTAGCAATTTGCTTATTTACTGAATTAATTATTAAATAATGTAGCTTTAATTCTGCTTGCAATCAATATCGATTTTTCAACTATTTCTTTTTCCTGTAATATTTTTTTAATCTAAAAAATATTAATACTTCATAATGTTTTTGACAAAAATAAAAAATATGTTTTTGTTCCTATTAGTGAGTCCTTTAAGTGGCGATGATCCTATTAATGTCTCCCCAATTTGTGTGCCTATCTGCATTTGATTATTTTTAACATAGATTATTAAAACAGATAATAAATTTAAGTTAATTGTTTAAGTTAATTACATAAATCATTATTTCAATTATATTTATTTCAATGTACACTCATAACACAACGTTCTCAGCTGCAATACAAGACATATTAATAAGGACAAGCTTAAAATCTTGCGGTACGTATTACTGGATTCACATAAACTCCTCATATTTTTCGAAAAATATTTAAAATATTTTAATACTTATAAAATATTATATTCGGTATTGTATACATTAATAATTTAACTTAACAAAAAAAATATTTTTTCTTATTTATTCGTGCTATGACTTATCGAAATACAAAAGTACACTAATAGAGACAGGCACAGTAATTGAGACAGTTACCCTAGTACGTATAAATTCACTTACGTTAGTATAATTAGTGTTTGTAGTCTCATTTTCTTATTAATTATTATAGTAATAATTATATAATCATATAATCATATATATAATTCTATTATAACACATAATGTGCGAAAATATATTTTAGTCAAAATGATCGGGACGCAATTGTTAACGTTAGTTTCGAGACGCGGCTACTCTCGGGTTAATCTTCGAGTATAGTGTGGTTATTCTGGAATATCTTTCTCGCGTGAGAAAGTGCTTATTTTTCTTTGAGTTTAGGGGCCCTATTCTTGAACAAATAATATAATACGCATCATTTTCGCATACGAAAATGACAGTTTCTTGATTGTAATTGGTCGATTGTACGGAATTATTTTCATATAGAAAATAACAATATACAATCGATCAATCACAATCGAGAAACTGTCATTTTCGTATGCGAAAATTATTCGTATATGTTCAAAAATAGGGTCCCTGATCTTGTTTTTATCTGATACGACTGCCGGATAAATTGAATTCTAATTTCAGTCATTGCGGAATCTGACAGATTATCCACAATTGAATTATAGAGACTACGGTCCACTTCAAGCTACAAATGTTTCGAAACATTTTTTGATTGGTCAGTTAGTAAAATTCTTTCTTCCGATTGGATTCAATCGAAAGTTTCGAAGCATTTATAGTGGACCAAACCCTAAAACTACTTGAATGGACATCTCGAAATACACTCGTTATTCATTTTTTTGTTAAATTCTGTCATTATTGCAGCTTATCTCTCTCATCCTTCGATATATTCCTCGCCAATAATGAATTGCCTCTGTCATCGCGAATTGCAATTATGAGTCTGATAAAATAAACGATATTTAGAAAGAGCCCAGGCACGAGAGAGCGTACCCCTCTTTCTAAATATCGTTTATTTTATTTTGTTTGTATAAAATGCGAATATTTAACGACAAATTTACTTGATTATCGAATCATTCCGTAAGAAAAACGAGAGAAAAATATAATAGAGAACGCGACGAAGTTCTGTCAATCGCGATTACGGTCACAAAGTATCAATTAATTTTACTCTAATTATATAAATTAAAGCTAAAAAAAGGCGAACATCAGTGCAAGTTTTCAGGCGCAATAAAAAATTCTTAGCGCTAATAGTTTAATAAATACAATTAAAATTGTTTATTTTATTTATTCGAAGCAATACAAGTATGCCTTCCTCTTTTCAAGGTCAGTTACTTTTGGATTTCCATGTCCAAATTGAATTAGTTCTTGCAGAAAGAGGCGATAGTCTCATATTAGACGTTGAAGATACAACATGCTTAATTCTCGTGTGATAAAATATATATAATCATAACAAACCCGGATAAATTTCAAATCTACGTTAATTGCGGAAATGCGTTTAATAATGAAATTATCATTTTTCTGTGCACTAATTCATTTTGGACGTGGAAATCCAGAAATGACTGATTTTGAAAAGAGAGCGAAAGGCATATTAAGTAACTTGAATTTTCATTGAGGAAAATTCCAAAGGGAGAAATGATTAAACAAATTAAGTAAACAATTTTAATTGTATGTATTAAAATATGTTAAAAGTTTCTTTATTGCACTTGACAACTGCAACTCTCATTAGTACTCTTAAGATTTAACTGTTATTTGGAAAGCCCTTCCTAAATTTTATTTAATTATATAAAGATATATTTTTTGTCATTATTATAGCGCAATTGATAAATCACAATATATCACTCATTATTATTTTATCATATTATTTAGATTAATTAGTTTTTAGTAAATTTATTTAAAATATTAAATAAAACATTATTCTTGATCTTTATTTATATAAACTTTGTATTGCATTGCAGAACGATTTGATTTTCTATATCGTCTGATAAAAGCTATAATTATGAGCCGTGAAAACAACGTAAAAATTTTCAACGTTACTATACCTTCACAGAATAATCTCTGCTATATAATCTGCAATATCGATCCAAGGACGATCTCTTAATTTACTCCAATTATTGCAGAAACAAGATTAAATGCGAGTATGTATTGATCATTATCGTCGTAGCACATCGTTCCGAATTCGAAAAAGTCGAAATGTATCAATTCCATTGATACATTTTGCGGATTAAAAAAGTCCTGGAAGTAAATACTTTGATCCAATTAAGTTCGTATCGATTCAAAGAAAAATGTCGATTTTTCAGACAATTTCTTCGAGAAACTCCTCAGGCGATGGCTGCTCCGATATGGATATCTGAGGAAAACAATCTCAATTGTCTGTACGTCGCCACAAAGGATTTTTTGGAAAGCCATACCTTTCGGAAACATTGTGACGCTCTTAACATAAAGATGATACGTGCTCATAGAGACCGTATACTCTAAAAAATAGGTGTGTGTGTGTGTGTGTGTGTGTGTGTGTGTGTGTGTGTGTGTGTGTGTGTGTGTGTGTGTGTGTGGTGTGTGAGTTGTGCGATGTTTGTATAATTTTTGTTCATATAGTATACTTTTATTCCAAAGAACGTCTTCCTAAGAACGTTTAGGATGTTAGAACGTTTTTAGAACGTTCTGTAGAACATCACTTGGAGATATGTACAAGCATATGTTAATATAAACACCAATATGGATTTAACGACATGGATACGTATTCACTAGCAAAAATATAAATCGTAAATCGAATACAAGGGGAAAATAATAAAAGCAAAAAGAAACTTTTCTGCCATTCTCTTCTCACATTCGATTTATACTTCAATTTTTATTTTCACCAGAGCAATACCGTGATCATACAGCGCAAATATCTTAAAGATGTCCAATCCTGAGAACGTTTTTACATTCTTTGAGAGTCCGAAGACGTTCCCAGAATAAAATGGTTCTTAGATAAAGTATCATATGGAATGATTTCAAACTCATGGTGTTAAATTCGCTCTATGTTGGTGTTTATGTACATATCAACTTCAATACAATGAGAATTTTATTAAACACTCATATATTAAATCTATACGGCATTGATGTTTATATTAACATTAAGACGGTGTAAAATATATTTAATTCTCCTGGTGTTATCCACATCCATATTTTTTTAAAATATAATTTTACTCTGTTCTCAAAATCAAAGTTATTCATTGATATCGACATGCAAATGTTGTAGATGGATCCACTCAATCCTCGTCCGGATATTTATAAGATGTGTCTACGTTACACGGTGGAACACAGGCTAGCACCTCAGTGGAACAAAGTCGGATCGTACCTCGTTGAGGGACAAGATTTTCTTAGCTCAACGGGAAGTGTCAACGCGATCAAGTTGAATATCGAATATTCGCAGTACAATCACTGATTTTACAGATAATATCACTAAATATGCCTTATAAGTTTTTATATATGTAAAGGTTTTTTTAACACAAAAAATAACTTACTCTTTAAAATTTTTAGGGTTAATTGTCACTGAAGAATAAAATCTCGACTCTTAAAGATTAAAAACTGAGCCAATTTTTTTCAAGACTGACTCAATTTTCACTGTAGAGTGAGATTTTCAAAGAATTTAGCTATATAAAAGAATAATTTAAATTAACTAAATAGATAATTGTAAATTGATAATTGTAGATAACAGGGCTAAATTTCAAGTGGAGACTGTAAATTTAAAAATTCCTTTCCTAAGATTAAATACCTTGCAACATGCAAGTATAGATTCAGTATATATTCTACCAAGGTAAGAGATAATGCAAAAATTTTGTTATTAATAATATAAATTATTTTATATAACTTATTATACTATTATTATATACAATTAATTATATAAGCATAGTTATTGCATAATAATAACTCCATAAATACTTATTCGTAGTTTGAAAGAGGGAACCGTGTTGAGCGAATCGAAAGAAATTCAGGAAAAGCACTTATTCAAAAATTACGAGGATATGCGCACATATTGGAAAAATATGGTGAGAATTTGTTTATAATTTAAAACTAATATTAATATTAAAACTAATATTACTCAAACTCAATTTTATTGATTTTGTATCATATATTATTCTTGTTAAAATAAAAATTAATTAAGTATGTACAAAGAATAATTGATTATTCGGAAATAAATTCGATAAGATTATTTTTTAATATTATTAATTGCCAAGTATAATTATGAACAATATCAATTGTAACAGTTGTTCTCTTTTAGCATAATTACATATTACCAGATCACGAAAAAGGACTCTTATATTACGAAATCCAATTCGATTACATCAAGGAAGGAAAACGGTGTTTCTCCGTTCGCTCATATCCTGAAACGTGCCTAACAATAGAACGTCTAAATATTTCTCCGTGCGATCCGATTTTTACAATTGACACATTTGAAGAAGACTTAAGGAAAAGAGTGAGGGAATTATGCGGACAGCAATTGAACGTTATACGCGAGGAAGTGAGAACACTGCATATCTTATCTACTTTCATTTTTATTTTTAATAAATTTTTCAATTGAAACTAATAATTTTAGTAATTATTAAATTAGTATTTATTTCTTTTTTATAAAATAATATTTTAATTATTATTACTTACAATAATAAATATATAATTAAGAGAAACAAATTTTTACATAACGTATTAATTAATTTATTATAGAAAGAGAGAGAGATATTGGCTATTGTATTGTTCTAAAATTAGATTAAATCGATATGTTTGGCTATACTAACTGCATAACTTATTAATATATAACTTTCATAGAATACATATCAAGCAGCTGCAAAAAAGAAATATTTACTTTTAAGATTAAAATATTTTATTATTATCTCTATTTTTTAAACACAAAGATGTTTTAATTTTAAATTTTTTCAATAAATAAAACACTATGTGTTTGGATTTAAAACACTAAAACTTTAAAAATGGAGACAAGAATAAAACGTTATTTTTTTTATAGCGTGTATAGCTGGTATATCGATGTTACCATCAATTGACAGATTTTCTTCAACCTGTACACAGGATTTGGTACACAGTCAAGTAATTTTAACAACAAGATGCCTTTTCGAAAATTTGATTTCTCCAATATTTCCCTATGTATTAGAAAACCACCCCTATTTATTAAAAAACCACCCCTATTTATTAGAAAACGATTATCGCCACCAAGGATTAATAATTCACTTATGCAAGATTGATTATGATAATATTGCGACGATATCATACGACGCTGATAGTGCTACGACGAGCAAATCAATTGTACAGATAAATGAAGAAAAGTCGCATCTTAAGCAAAAAAAATCAAAACCTGAGAACAAAATTCTTGTGCAGGTAAATATATAAACTTATAACAACTTTTTTACTTAATAACTTTTACTTAATAACAAAACAATTAATGATATTATATTAAAGGAACTGGAAGAATAATCTAAAAAGAAGAAACCTAAAATATAAAGTTTAAGTTAAAGGAACAGTTGTTAGGAATTTTTAAGAAAATATTCCCACTATTTGCCATCTCAAATAACAATTATTATTATTCGTTTAAAAATCTAAAACACAATATTGTATAACTTATAAGATGTTATCTTGACAAGATCTTATCTTGATAAGAAAATTGATAAGAAAATGTTCTTGATGATATAATTAGAGAATCAATTTTAGATCAGAATAAAATAAAAGAAAAAATAAATTAAAGTTATAAGTTATAAAGTTAATTCCATTATAAGTAGTAAATTATTTATATCTGAGAATAAACAGAAAAAAACGTAATATATTATACATTCCGTGACTCAAACAGCAACAAATTGTATCAATTAATAAATAAAAAAGATCAAATATTAATATGTTTTATGATTAATGCATTCCTTTATTGCCTCCAGCAAATCGCGTCTATCTTTTTCGTGCTCAATACCGATCTCTATCAAATCGTTATCCATAAGTGTTAGAAATAAGTCAAAGTCTACCTAAAATAAAATAAAATAGATCGCATATACTTAAAAATTATGCTAATAAACATATATTAATTATAATTGCAAAAAGAAACACTATCATTGTACACTCTCTAACAACTCTAATATACATTCTTTCAACATACTTCCTGTTCAAGAAATATAGGGATGTGTTGACTCAATCCGAAGCGTTTCAATACCATGATCATTTTCGTCTGTGGCCAATTCAAAAGCATTCCCTTCGGTGGCGTTTTGCAACGCGGTGGTGTTGGGGTATTTTCGCCAAATACATTCTCCTCGTTAACATCAGGGGGTACGTTAGGCGATTTGACAGGGCTGAATTCGGGTGTGAATCCCAGAGTGACGTTAAAATTGCACGAGAGATTCTTTATGTCGAGATCGACAGGTCGTACTGATTGTAATCTATAAAAACCGAATTTGTTTCATTAAATATTATCTTGAAATAAAATATTGAAATTAAATATATTAAATATATATCTAAGAAATATTATTTTAACAGACATTTGTAGAGAAAGTATTCTGCCTTCAATAAATAATTACTAAATTTGTAATTGCCTTTCTACCTTTGAAATCCAGTTGGAGATGATTCAAGCTCATCCTCGTCTGTCGCCGAACTCTTTTTCAAATTATTTTCATCGTTCGCATTTTCATTTAAGGAAACGTCTGATTTTTTTATAAGACTGTCCTTTTCAAAATCTGCTTTTGGAAACGTGAACACATCATAGGTTAAATTTGGTGATATTCTGCTAATTTGCTTATCGGATTCTACCGCAAATCGTAACAAATGCAGCTTGAGTTTTTCTCCTTTATTTTCGTCATCATTTGAAATAGAACGATCTTCTGTCGTATTGTTGATATTTTTTTCACTTATGATTTCGATGTTATCTGATGTATCATTCCAATAATCATCTATGGCCATTTCTTCGTTCGCCAGAGTGGCTATTTCCGGTACTGTGGAATGCTTCATCATAATACGAGTGTACCCATCTGCGCTTAATACATGAATTTCTTTAGACATAGTTTCTTTGCGTTTTACATAAAAGATAGATAAAGGAAAAAATAGCAAGCATAAAAAATACAATCGGCAAAAATAGATAATATTTTTCTTAATATGGTCTAATTTTGTGATGTAGTAGAAAATTAAACTGTAGCGTTTATCAAATTTTTAGTTATGATAAAAAATATTCTAAAATATCTTTAAATATTTTTATTTTTTCTTCAGTTTAGATTGATGTTTTTTATTAAATTTTTATAATTCTTAGTACGCATAATGAATCATTCGTATCTATTAATTTTTAACACTTACGAGTATATAAAAATTATTAAGTGATTTTTACGTATTCTGTAACATCTTTAAAATGTATTTGTAAAATAATGCAATATTGAAAAAAAGAATAGAGAGCGTTAGATGCTCCTAGTATTTTAAAGAAAAGAAAGTGCAGGAACGAATGATTCAATCGTGTGTATTAAGGATTAATTATATATAATCATAATTCTCTCTCAATCTCTCTTTTTATCACGATAAATATATTTATCAATTTTGCATAACACAATTGAAGAAATGGATGATAACTGTAAGCTTTATATTACATAAGTCATAAATAAATTGATTGAGGAATTTTTATATAAAAAAAATCATCTAACTGGTAGTCGAAGACGGCATGCCTAATTCCAACAATCTTAAGAACAATTCCTTGTCGTTCTTCATGGCAGCCACGCATAATGGAGTAATGTCATCGTTAGCTGTGTTTGCTAACGCGTCCGGACAGGCGTTGTACACTGTTTCGAACATCTCCTTACTGATCGCAGCAGCTAATCCAAGGACCGACATGCCTACAGTAATTAAAATAGAAAGAAAAAATTCTATTTAAAATAGCGTCACAACACCGCGTTGTCAGTTTCTTATTTCAAAATTTTTTATTTTAATATTTAATTTGGTAATATGACTTTTACAAAATAATTTATTTTTTAAAGCTTTATAACAAAATCTTTAATTAATCATCTTAAAATTTTCATTTGGATATCAAGAATTATTAATCTGTAATCGTAATTATTTGCTTGCTTACCAAGATAAGTCATTTGATTAACGTCGGAGTTTCTCTCTAAAAGCAATTTCACAGTGTCGATATTTCCATTACGAATTGCTTGCATCAATGGGGTCCATCCAAATTTATTCTTTCTATCTATGACACGGCAGTTCTCCTTCTGGTTCAAAATTTCTCTTACAATACCGAGACAACCGTTCGCCGCGCTTATGTGCAGCAGATTCTCATCATAATTATTTACAGCGTTCAAAGTGTATCCTTCAAGAAAATTTATACAAGTTTATTAACATCTTAATTAACATCTTAAGTTTCGTCGTTACTGAAGCCGATCATGCATATTTTCTTTAAAAAAAAAAAGAAATTGAAGCCAATTCACGCGTTTCAGTAAAGATACATGAACTTTTATAAATTAATCAAAATTTACGTATCGAAATATATATTACAAATAATTATTTTAAGTATTTGTCATTAAATAAAAAATATAATAATTAATTAAAAATTATACTTTGCTAATTGATATAATTAAGGAGAACCTTGTTTCTGCATCGCTGCGATGACTTGCGCCTCCACAACTTTTTTAGCACTATCGTACGACTCTGGTTTTAACATTTTTTCTCTTTCGATTCTTATCAAGCGCACTAAAAAATTTCATTTACAACAATTGAATTAATAACTTTCTCTCTAAACAGTAAAACCCAATTAAATCTCATAACTCGTTATATTCTGAAGAAATTTGTTGTTACGTTTATATTTATTAAACAAATTATTATAACACTTAGACATATTTAGAAAGCAGTTCTGACTTCGCTAATTGTCCAGATAACACTGATCTCTATTATTGACTAAATATTGTCATGTAATGTACGTCGCTTGCTGGTGAATGTTTTCTTTTTTTTCTAATGTTTTTTTCTAGTTATCAGAAAAAGTAGTGAAAGAGAATGATCTGTATGTATAGTACACAAAATCTGACGAAAAGGCATGCTAACAGTTTCATAATAAATCTATTATGCCATGTCGATGTAAAAAGCTCATAAACGTCCCAGTGACTGGACATCTATGTCCGGAAATTTACACAAAATTTATTATTATTAATTTCAAATGCTTTTTTGACTACAGTATTATATAATTAATTGTAATCAAAGATAACAAATTATAATATTATATTTTAGAAAACGTTTTTGAGTTGAGTAATAATAAGCTAAATAAATAAAGTTTGTGTAAATATCCGGATATAGATACATGTTCGGTCACTGAAATGTTTATTTTATTATTAAACAAAATTGGATATAATTAAATCTTCCATAAAGTGAAACCAAAATTATTATAAAATTATTAATAGCAAGCTTTAATATATTGCTTTTCAAGGAGAAATTTTTTAATTTTCTTACAGTTTTTAATTTCATTTAATACAGAAGAGCTCGATAGAAAAACATTTTATTTAAATCCAATCTAATAAAAATGCACTTTATTATTAAATAGACAGAAAAAGAGACAGCTGAGAGAGAGAGAGAGAGAGAGAGAGAGAGAGAGAGAGAGAGAAAGAGAGAGAGAGTCTAGATATAATTAAAGATATAGATATTATCGACTAATATAATTTTATCTACTGTTGATATAAACATCCTAACCGATCGTCTATAATGATAAAAATAATTTTAAATAAAATTCAAACATACACAATATAATAATATAAATCTATAATATCTCTTGGTGAAAATTTTCCTCAAAATTTTGATACAAATTTGAATTTTTTAAAAAATATTAAAAAAATCGAATCTATAAACATTTTTTAAATAATGTCAATTCTGATATATTCTGAGATCCTAAGATTTTTCATTCTATAACTATTTTGAAAAGATATCTTTAATTTTTCAAATTTTATAAGATTTTATTAGAAAAAATAAAATGAGAATTCTTAAAAATCTTAGAATATTTCAGAATAATGAAGAATTCTAGAAGAAATGTGGACTTTTTCAGCACTTCTGAAAAGTAGTATTCTAATTTGTATAAAAAAATCTAAAAAATTTTTTTTAAAGAGATAAAATTATTTAGAGATTTTGAAAAATTCTGAGAAAAATTTTCAACAGTTATCTATAAAATATCATATAACAATAATAAATTATCAAATTAATTTATGACACTAGTCAATATATTTAAATTTTCATACAACTTTTAGCATTAATATATCTTATTCAATTACAGATCATCAATCGAGATTCCATATAATTGAGAAAATAAAATTAAAAATGAAAGAAACTGTCGAATATGCTGAATCAGGTATTGAGTCACTTTATCGTAGCTATTTATTTTCAGAGAGCCACATTTGCTCGACGGATGGATTAATTAGGAACGCTCAACGCAGTATAATGAAATGCGTGACGTGACGGCTCGCACCGCCCGGGCAGGGCCACTCGAAGACTTGGAGGTCCCTCTGGCGGTATCTTTCCCAAGCGGAGAGGTCCATCGGGTGTACTGGATACGCTCCGGGATATGCTACGTATCGCGCCGCCTTGGGGTTAACTGCGATTCTACTGTGCATCGCCGTCAAGGTATATCGCCGATGTTCGTCGATGATGAGAGACGGGATATGGCGAGCAGCTCCGACCGTGAGAACCGTCCAATCGTAGGAAGAGTGCTCGAGGTCGCGACGACCCTCGGGAACACTGCACACCCGCGCACCGTCTCGCCTTCCCGTCTCTCTCGTGAGAGCCGTCTGACCTGTAAAAAAATCGCACTGTCAAGAGATATGTATCTTTAATGTAGATTCGCGAGATTCAATCCTTGAGGTCACTTTCAGATGAACCGCACAGTTGCGATATGGAATGCTGTCGTTTAGACAGATATGCAGAGACATATGTCTTAAACATATCCCGCGACATGACACTTGTTTGCATCTCATTGATATTCATGTGATGCAAGCTGCGAATTGTAGCTCTTGACGTTACTTGTATAAGATGTTTACATTTTCCGAGTCAGATCGTACTGGAAAGCCTTCTAGTATACTGTAGAGATAATTCTGTTAATATTTATTTTCATTTGCAGGAGGAAGAGGAGTAGGAAGAAGAGGAGAAGGAAGATCTTATAATATATCCAGCCATTCGTTTCTAAACAGAGACGATTAACAATGACTGGAGATAGACTGCGATTATTATAATACAATTTTATCTATATTGAGACTAAGGTTTGTTTGATATTTGACAAGTCTTATCATATTCATGATGCAATGTATACCTTGAAGCATCCAAACAATTTTTTCAGATCTGCCTTTTCCTCCATTATGCTGGTTCTGGGAGTATTTACTTCAATTGGAAATCGCTCAATTTCAGTAGATATATTCATTAATCGTGGACGAATTCCTTATATATTTTTTGCATAAGAACAAAAAAGGCATAAAAACAAAATGGTGATAGATTAGTGATGTGCCTTTGTCTTTGGTATTTCAATTTTACTATGACAGTAAGTACAATATTAAGAAGAATTCGACTAGTTAAATCATTTCTTCTGATCATCCTATTTATGGGATAGCATTTAAAAAGTTTTTTCTCCATATGTATATAGAATCTATTAAAAAATTGAAAAGATGTTTCATATGGAGAGAAAAATTAGAAAGTTGATAAATAAATATTTATTATTTTAATTTTTCTCTCCATATAAATACTCCATATGGAGCGTTTTTTCAAATTTTAAATAATAATACAGAAATAGAATGATGAGAAGAAATTTTTAGAAATAGTATAATGATCTTAAAGTTTAATATTCACGACAAAATTGATATTTTTTTTTTATAGGGAATGTCTTGACATATTTCAAAGGAAAAAAGTATATGTGATAAATATAAATTTCTTGATTGTACAGCTATACATACAAAAGATGGATAGCTCCGAGTACGAAATGGTCAGAAACATGACTCTTCTCTTCTTTTTTGAACGATTGATGGACAAAGGTGGTCCACGTACATTACACGACCTAAGTTGCCAGTTCGGGGCTAAAGGATTCACGAAGGAAATGCGTCAAATAGCGGGAGGTTCGCAAAGTGGCCTTAAGAAATTTCTAGCGCAGTATCCGGCACTTTTTCTGATCGACGGCGAGTATGTATCCGTCAATACATTTCAACCAATCGTGGAAGAAGAGAGCGGAAATAAATCGGGTAAACGCGACTATGCCCGCGAGGCCGTAGAATACTTTACTAATAAGCTATTACAATATGGAGTAGGTACCGAGGTGCCTATTAAAAGTCTCTTGGGCCATCGATCGCAAGCCTCGCCGGAAGTCAGGCATATATCCGGTCAGCACTATAAAGAATTTCGTGATTTTCTCATGAAGTATCCCGATGCGTTCGTAGTCAGCGAAGATAATGTAATATTGAAACAATATGAAGGTATGAAGCCGGAGCCCTTTCATGAACTGGAGCCAGATATTCCGATAGATCCGGACGTCACGGCGAAACTATTGGACTTTTTCTGTATATGCATCGAGCAAAAGGGTCCGATTCTTATAGATCAGTTATTTAATATGGTCAATGAGAAATTTTCCCACGAAAACTGGACGAGTATATTCAAGACGTCGCAGGATCTGTCTACTTTCATAAAAATATTCCCAGACGCTTTTCACGTGCAAACGAATCTGGTGACGTTGATAAGCCGACCGAAATCTTCCGTGATGGAACCTGCAGTCGCGAAAACAAAGATTTCAAGCGGCCATCAACGCAATCAGAGTAATAATGTAGCTCACACAAACAATGTGGTGCCGATTATTCCGCCGAGCAAGATCCAACTCACTCAATCACCTCTGGATCAATTGGAAAGTGTCTGCAATAACACCACATCTCAACCTAATTCGTTACAGAACGCGTGCACATCACCTGCTGTTGAAAGCAATAATAATTCACCGCCCGTGAGTTTGCAGCAGCAGTCTCTGAAACAGAGATTTAATACGATCGTTATGAGAACTCTGGCAGATAACACAGAACGAGATCGCAGTCTGCAAGCCGCCCAGATGGGCGACGCGTGGAAATTGAAGGTATTACAGCAGACCAAGGTGATAGCGACTTTGCGGGAAAGTCTTCAAGTTACAGAAGATATAATAAATCCTCGAAAGCCTCCGCCTGACGGCAAGGTAGTCATTTCTTTTGATTGCGAGGGCATAAATCTTGGTGTTAGAGGACAGCTGACTCTTGTACAAATCGGTACAATGAGCGGTCAAGCGTATGTATTCGATTTGGTCACGTGCCCGGGCCTCATTCAAGCTGGTGGTCTCCAGAAGCTATTGGAACATCCTCATGTTACTAAGGTAAAAATATACAACAATATATGATAAAAATACATACAGATATTAATTTATAAAGAATCTTCGAATATATAAACTTGTGTTCATTTTTGCAGGTGATTCATGATTGTAGAAATGACAGTGTCAATCTATACAATCAATTTAATATTACGTTAACGAATGTTTTTGACACACAGGTACTTAATGTCCTTTTTTTTATATAGAAATAACGTATCATCATAAATGTAATATGAAATGGCAATCTTTTATAGGCTGCGCACGCAGTGCTTCAGTTTCAAGATACGGGGAAGCCTGTATACAAAGTTAAAAATGTTAATTTGAACACT